CATAATTATAGAAGAAATTAATAAAATAAAACTAATAAATAAAATTGAAACTCAATCCGATAGAAAGAAATTAATAAAATGAAACTAATAAATAAAATTGAAACTCAATCCGATAATGTAAACCTCGCACTCATATCTATATAATATATATATATATATATATATATATATATATATACATATACATATACATAAATAATTACCATTTCGATGCTCAATAACGTAAAACACTTCTAAAAAAGATTCCTTCATCACTGATTCTGTTTTGTACTTGAGACAAAGGCAGATCTCAGATAATTTCTTACAATATCTTTTTCTTAAACATTTCGTTCGATATTTTTATAAAAATACAGTGTAATATTTCTCGTTAATAAATATCTCTCGCTAACAGTTTGAGCAGTCAATGAATAAGGCGTTTTTTCCAGTAGCACATGTGACGACTGCTGTGCTTTGCAAAAAGATATTTTGTTTTGTTTGTTTTCTCATCCATTTCACATGCATACGTCTCCCTGATCAATGATACGAATCTATAAAAGTCGACTGTTAGATCTGTCCATCATCAATATCTATATATATTTCAGTGTTACGTTTTACGTTAAAAAATGTTTTGAATTTTGAAATGTATATAAATTGAATAATAAAATATTTTAAGTTTTACCATTTCTTAATTCTTTTCTTCGAGATTATATCTAATTTTATTTTCATCAAATATTTATCAAAAAGAAGAAAATTATTTTACGTATTTTGACAAGAAAATGTAAATATTATTGAAGAAAAATATTTTTGTTCCATATGATATTACGTAAATATATAAATAAAATAACTGAAAATAAAAGATAAGGAGATTAATAATTCAATTCAAGATGTTAAATTATGAAAAATATCCAAATGGACAGATAAATCTAAACGTTACGCAATTGCTGCAGGCCGCAAATAGCGTCAATTATCGACATGTAATCATCACGTAGGAAAATACCAGTATAATCGACGCTGAATTTTCAAATGTCGGTCATATTAGCGTTCTTCTTCTTTCCTATCAACAGGAATACATTCATATTATCCTTGCCCTTGACGTACACCTGTCCGCGCGGCTCAAATTCGTATCGTTCCGACAAGATGTTCAGGCAATTGCTGGCTATTTGTATCCTACCAGCGACCCCAGTGGAATCCATTCGCGACGCTATGTTAACCGCGTCGCCCCAAATATCATAATACAACTTGGTAGCGCCGATCACGCCAGCCGTAACATCGCCATAGTTAAAACCGATTCGCAGGATCAGCTTGAAACCCAACAGATCCCGATTGAAGTCGTATATCACTTTGTGCATCGCCACAGCAAAATCCACTAATTGGAACAGATGCGTGTACTCGTGCTCACTCTGCTCCCTCACTTGCGGATTCAAACCGCTCGCAGCCATAAAGGTGCTGCCGATCGTCTTAATCTTTTCAACATTTGCATACTCTGGCCTCTCCAGCAGCTCATCAAAATCGCCTATAAGCTCGTTGAGCACGCGTAAATACTCCTTACCACCTAAATACGACTCATCATACAGTTCGTTAAAGTTAACGATACTGGCAAAGATGATGCCCACGGATTTATGATTCTGCGAGTACTTTGCGGTAGTCTTCAGCTGATCGGCCACGTGCTTGGGTATGATGTTATGTAATAGCCAATCGGCTTGATTCTTCATTGACTGCACGCGCATCTTATCGCGTGCTGCCACCGCATTGCCGTGGAAGCACAATCGGTAACTAATCTCAAACTCGCGATTCAGGAACCAGACTAGCAGTAGTAACAGCACCATATCCAGATATATCTCCGAATTGTACAATCTCTCGTTATATTTGGTATAAGAAATCTCACGAGTTGTAGGCAGCGCTTCTCTTTTATATTTTGCGACTGATGATGATGTTTTCGTCGAAATAGTAGAGGAAAGAAAATCTCTCGTGTCAATTGCAAAGTTCCCATCGTTCAATTCACTTGCAAACAATTTTAAAAAATTCGGCATGCCTAACTGCGAGTTGTTGATATGATTGTTGTCACCGTTGTTATTATTATTATTATTATTATTATTATTATTATTATTATTGAGATTCGCCTGATATGGTGATATGTGACTCAGCACAAGACATATAAATAGTATGCCAGTAAGAGTGACTAGCAGATTTTTCATCCAACAGTTGAGCTGCGTAAAATTGCAGAAGTGGACCAGTCCAACAAAGATCAGGTAACTGTAGTAATACTCAAAGTTGTTGAGGTTTCGGAAGTTGTTGCACGTGAAATTCAGCAAGATGGAAATGATCGGTAAACCAACCAAAACCGCGCCGCACACATGCCACGGATACCACCGAGAGAAAAACTTGAAGATCCTTTGCGTGAACGTTGCGTGAGTCGTGTTCGGATAGAGAAGTTGCCGAATGCAGAGTGACACCGCGATCACTTGAACGGTGATGGCTAGCATAGAGAACATGGTGTAGTAAATCGTCGGTTCACACAGAAGGAACAGCGAGATTGTGATGGCCGTGTAAACCAAGGCTGATATCAAAATGTCGATGTACGTGTTGAATCTCGAGGTGGCCAAGGTAGGCGGGTTATCGCCAATGCCCTCGTTAGCCTTGTGCGCGTTCTCTCGATACTCCTTCTCCATTTCCTTATTCTTGAAAAAGAGAGTAACGCTCGACAATGGCGGTTTAACAAAATATGAACGCTGAGAGCTCACATTATCTTGGACACACCTTCAAATAAAATTTAATTTTTAAAAAGCATCCATCGCGATTTGTAAGGCGTATTGAACAATGATATGTCTCACCTAATTAATTGGAGATCGGATTGCTTCCGTAATTTATGAAAGCATGCACCGAATGTATCAGTTACCATCGGAGGAAATGGATAAGGGGGCATCGATGACGAAGGTTCATGAGTAGAGTTTAATGTTGAACTAGAAGTATAATAGCCACTGACTCTGTGTCCCAATAGATCACCTTGGGTCATGCTATTCATTAGGAACAACTACAAAAAAAAATCGAGATACAGCAAAAATCCAGTGATAAAAGAGATACCAGGAAATTTACAAAAACGTACCTGTTGTTGTATACTACTTCGCCTGCTATTGCTCTTAATACCGGAGTCTTTTCTACTGCAAATGGAAGAAGCGTTACTAATCGGCTCTTGACCAGACAATAAAGGACTAGAAGGTACAGGATTTGGATCCATTTCAACGCTACTGTTTAGAGGGACCTGCGAAGCGATCGTAAATATTAATCATCACAAAATAAGCAACAGTTAGGAAAGAGAGTAAAGAGCTACCAACCCGTCTAAATCCATTGCATTCTTCAAACATCTGAAGATCGGGTTTTGCTCGTTCCATAGCGATATTTCTTCCCTCTTCTATCTCTAGAGGTGCCATTTCTTCGGTTGTTCGTTGTCTCTGCAAATATCTCCACGGTTTATTTCGCACTTTCCTTTTGCCATAACTAGCGGTAGACGTTGGACTCTTGTTCAAATCTTCTTTTTCGTCCATGATGTCACCACCGTTTTCGGAATCCAAGATACTGGGCAAGGAATTAGCCTTCATTCTGTAATTGCTGGCATTCGTGACCATATGGAGATAATGATGTCGCGGCTTAGCCTGATTGTTGCACGACGACAGACGATTTCGCGATTGCAATAGTGGCGAAATACTCTTGGGTGATGTGACGTTCGTGATAAATTGATTCACAAAGTCCGATTTACGTGCTCTGATAAAGTAAGTTTTAACACCTAAAACAGATTAAAAGTTCACATGTATACAATTTAAGTCTTTATTCCTTTCTTCTCTTTTCTTTTTTCTTCACATCACTTACCATTGACTATTTCTCCAATCTCTGTAATGTATTGATCCCCCAAAAATCTCAAAGTGTTTTCACTCAGATGTACACGACCGGGCTTTCCTGTGCTCTCCAGCTTATTTGCTAAGGTTACGTCATTCGACCAAACGTCGAATTTGAATCTCTTTGTGCCTACGATTCCACAAAGTACTGTGCCCGTGTGCACACCCACTCTCATGTTTACGCCCTCGCGTCTTTCGATGTCAAATTGTTTAATCGCTTCGATCATGGCTATTAAAATAAAATTTATAATAAAGTCTGTTCTTTTTAAATGAACTTTTTGCGTCGTTCACTTTTTTTCTTTTTTTTTCTCCAACATGGAAAGAAAAAGAGAAAAACTGAACATGTAAGAAATTCAGCTGAAAAGAGCAGGCTTGTAATTTTACAATGAGATCAAAATATTGCATATAATAATATTCTGCCTACCTAATCCCATTTCTATGCAACATTTTGCATGATCGGATCTCGGTTCTGGACATCCGCTTACGCAATAATAACAGTCGCCCAACGTGGAAATTTTTTCGCAACCGTGGTGTTCACAGAGATCATCAAAACGTTCGAACAAATCGTTTAAGATGCCTACTAATTGCTCCGCGGTTTTGTTTGAGCTCATCCTAGTAAATCCGACAATGTCGGCGAATAGAATACTGACATCCTCCATTGAATGCATATTGAATGGACGAAACAACGAACGAATGTCCGTATTATTAGATGGTATCGAGCCCTTTTTTAAAGAGTCCTCTCGCTCTCTCTCGCGCTCGCTCTCCTCCATAAGCCAATCCGCAACCTTTGGCGGCATAACAGAGTGTATCATTTTCTCCTTCAGTTGCTTTTCCATTTCTAACTGTCGGCGGACCAACAAGGATTGGCCGACCTTCATAAACGTACCGCGCATTCTCACAAAAGTCATTATTAAAATATGCACTCCTATCAAATGAATACAAATCTGCATCAAGATCCTTATTGCGAGATTCGTAGAGAAATCAATATCATCGATAAATAAGTTATTGTTAACGTAATTATCTACAGGCGATAAATTTACGGTGGAATTAGTAATCGTCATCACGGTTGGGATGCTAGAATTTAATCTCGTTAAGACATCCGTGTCGCTTAGGGCATCATATAAATGTTGAGCCACCTTTTCTGAGTATCTCGGTTCCGCTGTATCTCTGGCTTCACGCAATCTCGACATCGCCTCTGTACTAATTGCTGTAGTAAAATCACTAAAATTACGTATCACATTCTGTAGACCAGCAACACTTAGAGGATTTAGAGACGAGTGTGTAAGTACCAACGTTCTCCCTTCCTCTTCTGTCATCGTATTGTTAATTCCTGAAGTATTATTTTGTACAATTCGTTCACTCGTGTAAAATCTGTGTCGCGCGTCCTTCGAGCCATACAAATAGGCAGTCAGGAATTCAAACATGAAGGAGTACAGTGTGGATATTCCTACGCAGGCATAGAGCGGCATCGGCAGCACTGTATAAATGACTAATAAGATCTCGGAGCATAAGGCGAAGTGTCCGACCAGAGTCAGTCCATCCACGTAAGGTGGTACTAAGGCAAGGAAGAGTAAAGACAGGAAACAGAGCGTTGTTGCAACTCCCAAGGAAATTGGTAGTACATAGCATTTGTAATAGTCTGTATGCGTTAAATAAAGGACTGCCGAAACCATAATGCCAACAATACCGAAAACACCTGCTATCACTGCCCACGTTGATGTATTATTTCCTAATCCAATTATCACAAAATATGTCAACCATGATAAAGACACTAGCAAGATATATGTGAGAGCGTACCTATAAAAAATAATGATTAATCAGAAATGTTCGAATTATATTTTTCATTAGTTTATTAGTTATTTTTAATTAATCATTAATAAAAAAATTAATGATTGGTTCAATAATAATATTTCCAATCATGTATATATAATAATATATATTTTGTATGTTATATAGATTGTATTAATACAAACCGAAATCTTAATCTAATTTGAGGAAAGGCACTTCTCTTAAACTGTTCCTCAAGGATTTCCGAATCAAATTTGGGATTCCACCAGGACCGTGGTGCTGCTCGTTCGAATGGCACGGGTAAACTGATACCGCAGCATCCCAATCGCTGGTTACTATGCGCCAGATATGTTTGTACATATGGTGCCAGAGATATATGAATCTCATCCTCGGCATCTTCGCTATCGTCCTTTGCTCGGGTAAAGCTGACAGACGAGCCACGTTTCCGATTCAATTGAGGAGTCATATTGACAATCTGATAGGATTAAAAAAATTTTAATTCAGAAATATAACATTAAAGTAATGAAAAAAGGCGAATAAATTATATATATCATACAGAAATATAAAGAATGTTCAAAATATTTAATAACTCTAAAATAACTTCATTTAAATAAACTTTAACTTAATTAATGTACACACACACACACACACATATATATATATATAAAATATATATAGTTTAGTTTGAGAAAACAATTTATATATTACAAAAATAATTATTAGACTTGTACAATGAATCTAGAGGCCTGTTCTTTTTAGCTGAACTTTTGCACCAGTTCATCTTTCTTCCTCTTCTTTCCTCCTAGAGAAAAAAGAAAGAAAGATGAACAGACTATTACAACTGCACAAGTTCAGCTAAAAAGAACAGGCTTTATATATGTCTTGTATATTTTGCAAAATCTACATGTCTATGAATTAAATAAAACATAAATGCTATATATATATATATCCATATCCAATTATCCTATTGAGTATCATCTATAAATATAATGCAGCTTGAACTATTGACATATGTGTTATCATTCTGTTGCAACTACAATAAGCAGCTGCTACTAATAATACCACGCATAATGTTATTTAATGAATGCCACCAGAAAGACTCACAATTCTCTGATTCACATGCTTTTTTGTTCATTTTAGCTACGTTATCCGACAAGAAGCGTACAATATTTAAATTAAAATTAAATTTGTCATAAACAAGACAAACAATTTAAATTACCTAAAAGAATACATTCAATTACATTCTGGAGCTTTTCAAAAATAATTGTACGAGAAAAATGAGTACTTTCTTTTCACTTCGTAAGATACAATTTACACTTAACAAATGTACTGATGACAATCGCGAAGCGTTTCGCGCCAAGTACTTGTCGCGAAGTTCCTCGTATTGCGTGTGCTCGCGTTGGACCCGACGTGTCGGATTGTCAGCTTCAGTTCAACGTAAACTCACTGCCTTATGACGCGAGTTACGCGCGCGAGTCTTGAAGGAAAGTGACAGTACGACGAGAGACTTACCGCCAGTTGATTCACGTCAGTCAGGGGCGAAGACGCCGAAGAGTTTGAGAAGTCATCTTCCTCGCTGATATCGGAGGTGCTTGTAATCAGCTAGTGTCGCAGGACGCCATTTTTTTCGCGGCTCTTCATCAGCGGCACCGTTGCGGGAGGGATGCGCGGGCAGGCCTTGGTGAAACAAACGTTGAAGGACACACGATGGGCGGATTATCGTGGATAATGTAAAAAACCAAAGGGGAGAAGAAGGTAGCGAAAAAATCACGGGTTCTCGTCGCTGCCGAGATGTTCTCCGCTACAACGTTCCGTAGCCATCTTGAATCTGTCAGCGGGGACGACGGCTGATCGCTGTCATCGCTGATGGAGTGAGTAAACAGCGCCTATGCTCCTCCCCCACAGAAATCGTACGTCAAACGGAGAACTATCATTGAACTGCTGACGGAGAGAGATTCTAAACTTCGTAAAAAGAAAAAAAAAGGAGAGAGAAAAATGACGGTCTAGTGGTAACATAGGAACTTTTCATCGGAAACCTCCCTCCCTCTCTCTCTCGTTTCTGGGCGGTTTCTATTTGACAGCGCAGCCAATCGCAGACGATAATTCCCCGAGGAACTATCCGCATTGGTTACTAACAAGAATGGAGCCTCGATCGAGGAGACGGCTTTTTTAATATGAAAAATGCACGGAAATCAATAATTATTTGCATCTTGGCCGACACAATGATTTTTTAAAATAATTTTCTCAGAAAATCATTTGTATTTTGTATGAAGCAATTTTTATTATAGAATAGTTTTAACTAATTAATTTATTTTTAAGTAACTAATTTAATTAAACTTATAATTAATATAATTTAAGTGACTACATAAAGTTGATACAGAAAATAAATAAAGAATTGCATGAAAAGTCATTTGGATAATTTAAATTAAATATTTTTAATTAACTAGTGAACATATTTGGCTAAAATGCTAATTTCTATGAATTACTTTTAATCTAATTTAGTCTTTTTCTTTTTTTTTAATTCTAACAATCAGACAAAAATAAAGAGTAAATTTAATCAAGATTAAAGTTAATTTACATTTGTAGAAATAAAGATATACATTTCATTTAGTGACACAAAGTCAATACAAATATTATTCTATATATCTTTTGATATTCAATGAGTAACAAAGATAGATCGATATTTATGTCAACTTGTGTCAAATGGGAAAGTATCCCTTTTTTTTTCTACAAATGTAAGTTAACTGTAATCTTGATTTAATTTATTCTTTACATTTTTCTAATTACTAAAAAAAAAAACGAAAAAAACGTATCTATTGTTTTATCTAGTCTTAAAGATATAGCTACATACTAACGTTATCAATTATAGAAAGTTGTTTAATATTATCACATTCACAGTAATTTACAATATACTATTAAACTTAAAAAATGCATAACGCTCGTAAAAGATAACATTTATGCTGTATAAATATAATTAATATAAGTAATAATAACTGTATGAATATAATTAGATAATATAAGTAATAATCATTTAAAATAATAAACGTGTACGCATAATTTGGTATGATTCAAATAATATATTTTATTAAGATATTAATAACTTAATTATGTTTTATTACATTTTATATATATTTTATTAAATTAATCAACACATCTCTCGCATTTAATTATCTCTTTTGTGAACAAGAGTTTCACAATTTTATTTAATCAGAGTTAGCACGCGTATCCGCGAGATTGCTCGCGAACTCGATTGATCAACAATTGTCATCGAATTCCCAATTGGCATAAAGAATAATCGCGCTTTCGCGCTCACGTTGGTCGTCGTTGTATTTAGTTATATCACCAACGAGATACTAAATATTAAAGACTGTCAATCCTGGGTAAATTTTCAGTGGTATAAAAAGAGTCTGAAGATAATTGAAGAATGCCGACATTATCGACAATTGATATAAATTGATTTTCGTCAGTGTTTGTATTCTTATCAGAGTATCTGGTAAATCTTTCAGATGTGCGGCATCGATGTATACAAACAATATTTTTGCTGTTTGCTAACTGAATTATTACCTAGCTTCGTATTGATCAGCCGTTATCGCACCAACGAGATATTATTAAAGGCCGACATCCTTACGGGAGCTGGCGTTCTTGTGAATATTAAAGTAATTAAGAGTTAAAAACTGAAAATATTGTACTAATTTTATGATTTATTAGTTTAGTAGATGTATTTATGCATTTAAAATTCAATAATACTCGATTTTTCTTTAAAATTATAATTTTAATGTTGTCAAAGTTTGGTTATCAACAGAGATGATAACTACAGAGAAAAAAAATTGTAATTTTTTTGCAATATATAGAATATTATAGCTTTACAAATATGCATATTTATTTATGGACCATTTATGTAATAAAAAATTATGAATTTAATAATGTATGAACCAAATATTTATATTAATAGTAGCAAATTTATATCAATTGTCGATAATGTCAGCGTTCTTTAATTACCTCCGGGCCTTTGGGGCCCTTTTTATACCGCCGAAAATTTATCCGAAAGGGTTGACGGTCTTTAATAGTATCTCATCGGTGGTTATCGTTGTTACCGATCCGATCGCACGTAGATAATCGAGAACCCGTCAATCGGCAGACGACCAGACGAGCAACGTGACGGACGCGACGCGACCGGCCGTTGTCCGTCCTGCATACGTGGCAGCGACCGAACGCCAATCGGAAGCGCCAGCGAGCGATAGGCGTGGCTTGCGGCGCCTAGTACAGTTCGCTCCACGTCCGGCCGCCATAGTGCTTCAGGGAATCAAGTCGCGTGCGTGTGATTCTTGGCTCCGTCGCGCTCGTCGTCTCTCTCTTTCTTATACTCGATCACTCTGGCCGTCTCGCCTACGCCGACACTCAGCCGTGCCGTCCGCAGCGAGGAGCACGTCGGTCTGCGACAATCATCGCCCGACCATTCGCAGTGTCCGTCGTAGCATCGCGTCTTGGAATCTACGGGAATAAACACCTTAGGTAAGTGGTCGGCGTCGGCGCGCGTGCGAGATTCTCGCCGGGGGAGAGACGAGAAGCACAGTGGTAACGGCGTGCCGGTCGCACCGTAACACTGTTAAACGTGCCGACGCAACACCGAATTCGCCGGTCAATCCCCGTGATGTGTCGATGACCCGCGGCCCCATAATCCATATGCCGCTCCTCCGAGTCAGCCGCGATATCGCACAGCTCCGATTCATTCCGCACATTCACTGTGATTCCTCCTTTGATTTCATCCCCGCTTTCGCTCGACCTGCACACGTATACACGTCCCACCGTTATCTGAGATGCCCCACTGGGATTCCTCAAGGACAAATTTGCCAGTGTCCTCGCAACCGTTCTGCTTTTTGTTTTCCACTAAGCTAATTTAACATGAAATATTAAGTTCTCGCGATTCCTGAATTTTCTCCCGAAATCCCTTCTGGAATGAATTTCTTATATTCCTCTTATCTATCGTAGCTGGGCGGAAGAGCCGTTTTCCATAAATATATGTAGATAGGATTCTTTATCAACCTAATGATTCATATGAATACTTAAAAAGCTAGTGGTAGATTCAAAGGACAAACAACTACCTATGTGTCCGAATTGACACTGATATGAAAATATTATGAAAGAATTTTTTTTTTATAATCTACGTCACAACTGATGACATTTTATCTTCTATGACGTACTGACACTTAGATAATTTTCTTACAGATAAAACGACCAAAGATGGATGTTCAGACAGGACTAGTATATGTCGGCATTGTTGTCCTCTCCGCTGCAGCCATCGCCTTCATTTCGATGTTCGGTATCAGAGAGAAATCTTACGAAGAAGCAATCGCCGAACAGAGGAAGCTTCCTGATGATCTGTTGTTTAGTACGTTAATTTGTGCGATATTGCCTGTAAAGTCAAATTTTTACTTTAATCTATGATGTAATTTGTAATATAATTATTTTGATGATGTATAAAATCATTTGGTACAGAATATAAATTGGAAATGCCTAATATGTGTGTAAATAGAAAATAAGTAAAATTTTGATATAAGTTAAAATGAGATATTAAATGTGTTAAGAAAAATATTCTTGTATGTTACAGTACTCTTTAATAGATTTTTTGTTATTCTGCTTACAGGTAAAAAGGATAAAAATAAAGAAAAGAAGCACAAGAATAAAGCAGGAAAGAAGGTGAAAGAGAAGAAAGAAGAAAAGGATGATAAGGAGGACAAAGATGAAAGATCTGATCATGTACAGTTTGAAGAAACTCCCCAAATATTGCCTTCTGAGCCTCCAGTACAGGTAAACTTAGATTTATTGATTTATTTTTATTATTTATTAAAAAAACTACAATTATTCTATAAGAATTGGGTAAGATATAGTAATGGATTGTATAAACTCTTTAATTTAATATACAATAAAAGAGTATAAGATACTTTTATTACTGGATAGATATATATGTCTTTATTTATTCAACTGTTAGAGAATTAGAAAGTAGGAAAACAAGTGCCAATCAAGCACTCCAATAAGTATATTTTCTATGGGTTCTTTCTATCGCAATTGTCTTCAATCTTCAAATATTCACAATATAGAACGATGAGACAAAAGAAGAAAGCGATAGTGCTTAGCAATTTTCTAACATGAAACAGAGAAGCACGATCATGCGTTTGCACCTATATTCTGTATTCTTTTAATGATGTGTTGGTATCGTTACATTTATCGTTACGCAACTTTTTTTCGGGTGAAAAAACTGCACAACGATAAATGTAACGATATGTCATTAAGAGATATATAATACGGATCCTGGTCTTTCGATTAATATTTATATGCTTTTCATACTATCACTTACACAAACACATCATAATCATGATTGCCTGCCTTAAAATAAAAGTATGAGCTGTGCATAAAGCTGTTTTTGAAATATTTAAGATTTGAACGTTTTGTTTTCATGCATGAAATACAATAACCTAGATGACATACAATATGGCACCATTACATCTACCCAGCAAAGAAAAAGAGATTTATAAACAGGAAGCATGCTATTTTTATTCTATTGTCATATAATTCACGAGGCATGAACATAGAATTGTTATAATTATTATTTATTTTAACAGTTATTATTTCATAATGTATTCTATAATCATTTTTCTGGATACGTAATAAAATAATTTATATTATAGTTATTAATTATATAAGTGTATATATTAATTAAATAAATTATAATTAAAGTTTTATATATATATTTTATATCATATTTATATGTTATTTATAAACATTTTATTTTTTTAAATTATTTTTAGCACTCGTAAATTATAAGTTCTTTATTAGCATTATATAATAATGGGCATTGCAAATCAAATAACTTACAGCAAACAAATCCTTAAATTGAACATATATTTTCAATGATACGTAAATAAATTTTGTTTCTCATTTATGGTGATT